AAATAGTTCAAATTGCCGTTTCACCTGTTCTTGAAGCAGCAACAGTTCGATATTTCGAAAAATAATTTCGCAGCATCAACTATATGAGAAGTGTTACAGTGCCAAAAATGTTTTCCCTAAGCTCCACATGCTGATTCACTTAACCGAGCAAGTAAAATTACATGGTCCACTTTGTCACCATTGGACTCTTCGGTTAGAAGGAAAACATATCGTCAAAGGCAAAGAAATTTTTTAATTTAAAAAATCTGCCATTTTCTGTAGCGGAGTTTTTACAAATGAATCAATCTTTTAACATGTGGTACGAATCAGAAAAACCCGTTAAAAAATTTCTGCAAAATTGGCATTTATACAGGTGAAACTTTTCTTCTGCCAAATAAAATTGTACGTATGGTAGATAATTCAGGCGTTTCTCAGAATGATGATGATAGCGCAACGGCATTAGTAATTAAAAATGTAACATTAAATGACGTAAAGTTTCAGTGTGGAGATATAATTACTTTTGAAGAATGTGACAGTTTTTGTATAGGAAACATTCTTAAAATTATTGAATGGAAAGATAAGATCTTCGTATGCTCTCCATGTTCATTGTCCTCCTATATAAAATACATGAATGCATTTAAATTCAAAGAAATGAGTTATTCCGTTGTTGTTCACTCCAACAAATTATTGTCGCCATGGCCATTACTTAAATACAAAATAGGACGTGAAACATACATTATTTTCAAGCATATCAGAAATTCAGAAATTTAGAATTCTTTTTCATGTTAATTTTATTTTAAATTGTAATATATGTTATATAATATGATATAAATTAATGTTTTTTGTATTTTTTCAAAACTGTTGGTTCTTTTTTATTTTATATTTTCTATTGCTATCTATTATTGAATCATGTACAGCCGTTATTAAATGTTTATGAAGACGATGAAAATAGTTTTCCACTTTCAAAATTTTCTAAGACGATACAACCATTGCTTCTCGGTATCGTCGCGACAAATCAAGAATAAAAAGAGTTGTCCTATCTAATGAAAACCAAACTGGTTCACCATATTAGGTAAGAATCGTTTATGTTGTATTTATGTTTATATTCGATTCACGATCAAATTTTTTTTATTTACAGAGTAAACAATTTGTTGAAAGTACCAACCAGTGAGAAACAGGATGTATACAACAAGAAAATCTACAGGTTGCTTGGATCAACATTAACAGAAAAATACCCTCATATGTTTTGGGACACTCCATCTACCCGTTTTAAGAAAACCAAGAACACACAGATCTGGGTATTTTTTATATTTTATATGAATAGAAAAATGTAGTTATGAGTATATATAAATTACATAAAATTTGCAGAAAATTGCTGTATATTTACAGGTGACCAAATATTTTTTTTTTACAGAGCACATTTGTTCATCATATTAGTATGAAATTAAAAAAAAGAAGGAACCGAAAAAAAAAGATCAAGTTGAGACTTGAAACTTCATCTGAAACAACTGAGATTGCAGAAGAAGAAAATTTGTCCGTAAAAGATGCTCAGAAGGAACTGAAGGTGATTATAATTTTTATCATTTTTCAAAAAGGAATTATGTACAATTTTGAAAAGTACATAATTTATTGAAGCTTTTGTTAAGTATGTTTTCACAAATTGTCGACCACACTAGTCTGTACTCAAGACTTTGTGTTCTCCTTCAAAAAACTGCAACAGAACGTGTTGAGTGCTCTCAGCTTCCATTATATTTTTTGGTTCAGGAAAAGGTAAGTTAAAAGAAAGGATAAATAAAGTGATTACTCTACTTATAATACATTATAACTAATGTTTTGCTATTTTATTTCATATTCATTTATTGTTATTTTTATATTATTTATTTTAAAGTTTTGTAGTTTATTTTCTATTCAAAGACTTTATGTTGAAATAATACTTTTATTTTCCAGCTTAGTATAGAATTAGAAATAAGAAGTAAAAATGAGATTTCCAAAGTGAAAGATGCAATGGACATATGCATTAACAAATATTTCCAAACGGAACGTAATGGGGAAAAAACGGTGAAAGATTTGGAAAACGACATCAAAGGATCTCGTTGTATTTATAATTTTATCTGTTCTATAAGTAAATATGTTAAATTTGAACTTTTACATGGGCGAATAAAATGACCTTTCTAAAATATATATTTATCTTATTTTTTCATATATGTATTAAAAAAAAATATTTTTACTTATGACATTTAGAAATCGTGCATGTTACAAAATTGTTTTATTGTTTATGAAAATATAGAAACTATTGTTCATTATATTGTCATACATTATATGGGCTATATTTATTTTTTTCAAATCGATTGTCATTGTTGTGTTCTGATATAAATTACATGCGTATGTAAAATGTAATTGTGCTTCTTTGTAATGAGCTATTATTATTTTTTCTTTTTCAGATTGATGAGGAGTTGTCTCAAAAGACACCAGGACCAAAAGTAATTTTTTGCCTAGAGAAGGAAATTAAAAAAATTGTTTGTTCTTTTGATGAGAAAGTTATACTTGAGAAAGATTGTTCGATGACAAGAGCAAGCCTGCTGTGTTGTTGTATATTATATCGAAAACTTGACTTAGCCTACAGCATTTGCTCCGATTCTTGTCATTTTGCAAAAAATAGTTTTTCCATAAGATAAGTTCGGAACAAATCTCATGTTGCAAAAAGTGAAAGATACATTAAAAACGATGAATTTGCATTAAGTCTGTAATATGCTCCTCTCTTTTTGCAACACGAGATACCGTTATTGTTTATTTTCGACGATCCAAATTCTTTTTTAATATTTTTCTACATTTTGTATAATTAATATTAATACGTTCGATGGTATTATTAGTTTTAAGGTATCATTAGTATCTTTTTATTTTTTATTTTCTCTTGCAATTATGATATAGTTTTTTGTTGGTACATTTAAAATTTCTGAGTATTTTTGGCATTTGTTTGCAGAGTAGTTAACAATTATTTTTTTAAATCTGTTTTTTTTTTAAATCGTCAATACATGTTTTTCAAACGTGGAAGTAACATCTCTGACTTTAATATTAATTTTCTGCTAATGTGCAAAAACGATAAATGTGAGATTACAGCAACAAATTAACAATTAATTAAAACCTATGTTTCTAAATTATCATTACGTTATTTAAGTTCTCGAAATGTAGCTGTTATGAAATTATTATTAATTATTTAGTTGTCTATTTTGTCTAAATATTTTATCGTATAATAGATATTGCAAATTGTATTTATTTGTAAATTGTTCATTATTTAAAGATATATAATAAATTGTGTATCTTATTAAATAGCGTCAATTTGGTCTCTTTTTTTATATATGGACAAAGATTATATATTAATATTTATTGTAGAAAAATTTTGTCAGAGCTTTGTTTTTTCTAATGTCAGTTATCTACATTTTTTCTTGTTCAGGTATTTTTAAAAATTAGCTAAATTTTTTGTTGTCATATTGTTTTGTTTATATATTAAATGCAATCTGAATATCTAAATATATTCCCAATGTATTTTTTTTATATTTTAAAAACATAATATAGTTGATTGTGAAATGCTAAAATATTTAGAAATTTTAACTAAACATAAAAAAAATACACTGAGAATATATTTAGACATTCAGATTGCATTTAATATGTAAACAAAACAATATGGCAACAAAAAATTTAGCTAATTTCTGAAAATATCTGAACAAGAAAAAATGTATCTCTAATCATTTAGTACCGCATAACGTACTTTCTAACTTCGAGGTACCATCTTCCCTTCTATTTTTGAGGATACTTATGTCTCTCATAACTACGTAGGGACTTTATTTAAACATGTACCTCCAATTGTTGGCGACACATGCTTACCGCATATATAATGTACTTCTTGACTTCGAGGTACCATCTTCCCTTCTATTTTTGATGGTACTTACGTCACTCGTAATTACGTAGAGATTTTTTTTCAACATGTATCTCCAATTTTTGGCGACACATGCTTAAAAGTGAAGAAATGAACCGGGAGGTAGACAGAAATGGCAAAGTATGCAAAACAAAGACCAATCTGAAAATACAGAACGGAAGGTTCGATCCAGATTTAGTTTTTTTTAATACATCTACAAAAGATTATAAACAAAAAAATGTCTGGACGCAATACAAACAATTTTATTGAGTCTAATACAAATAATAAAGCATGCATTTCTGAATACAAAAGGCTACTAGACAAATTAAGTCGCAAGTGGACAAACTCTACGTTCGTTGACTTAATTGAATCTCCTAGCAGCGAGCAAATCGTCGTCGTCTTACAGTGTCAAAACATCCAACGATATCATCATTATATTATCAAACGACGAAAAATCTAAGGCATTTAAATGTATATTGCTGCATTCCCACTATACATGTCGCGCGTCGTGTCACGGCGTCGCGTCATGAGTTATCCAATCAAAATGTTTCATTTTATGACGTCATTTCCGACGCAAAATCTTGTCGAAAATGACGTTATAAAATAAAATATTTTGATTGGATAACTCATGACGTGGCGTTGTGACGCGACGCGCGACGCGTATAGTGGGAATGTAGCATATGAATATAAATAATCGCATCAAGATATATAATTCGGTTGAAGTTAATGTCCAAGGAATTGCTTAAAAAGTTAATAGATGAATTGTATAATGATTTCACAGTAACAATTTTTCGCCCATAGAAACAGATTCTCTTGCTTCTTTTAACATTAAGGAGGTTGTCTGGTCAAAAGGCTGTTTTTTGAGGAAGAATTTTTTGTAAGGAATCACAAGAATACACTTTTTTGAAACTTTTACATCATATTTATTGATATTTGAAGAGTATTTAGAAATTTTTCCAAGTTGATATATGGCCAAGAATCCGCTGTAGAGCGTCCCGAAAACAACTGTGTAAAAAAAACGGTACCCACGATTCCGGATCTCCAGTTCATTCTAAAAAAAAAAAAAATTAAATTTATCTCTTAATCTGTGGATGTCGTGTGAACTAGAACCAAATAAAAATATTAAAATTTCAATTTTTGCTAACGTTTTGAAAAAAAGTTTCATTATGAACTTTTTTCAAAACGTTGGCAAAAACTGAAATTTTAATATTTTTATTTGGTTTTAGTTCACACGATAGTCACACATCCACAGATTAAGAGAAATTTTTTTTTTTTTTTTAGAATGAACTGGAGATCCGGAATCGTGGGTACTGTTTTTTTTACACAGTTGTCTTCGGGACGCTCTACAGCGGATTCTTGGCCATATATCAACTTGAAAAAATTTCTAAATACTCTTCAAATATCAATAAATATGATGTAAAAGTTTCAAAAAGTGTATTCTTATAATTTCTTACAAAAAATTCCCTCAAACAAACAGCCTCATGACCAAACGACCCCTTTAATGACATAAAGCAACGTCAGTTGAATCAGTCCTTGAAAATTGATTCACGTGTTTCAAATGTTGATGACGCGAAACAGCATTTGCAGTTAAATTGGTCTGATTCTCGTTCTGTATCATCTTGTAACATTGACAATTCAAAATATTACACGCATGCGGCGAATTAGATAGCGTTGAACGTTCCGAAATTAATGCAACAGATGTTAAAAATTGTGAAAAATATATAGAATATGCGATGCTTATTTCTCTATATGATTTTCCCCGAGGCGGGAGGCGGGACTAAAGCGCGTAGCAAATATATGATCGGGTGGCGGAGCGGATCTCGAAAGCGATACGAAACAATGTTGGGCGCCAGGTGTGGATACGGCCACACCACCGTTTAGTCTAAAATGGCGCGTAAGCAAGGAAACTCTCAAGCAAGCCTACGCGTCTCTCTCACCCGCGAAAAATACTCTACATGAACTCTACAAAGATCCGACATAAACTCTAATTATCGACACAACTCTTAATTCACACGTTATGACACATCCGTTCTGGCCGATCGCAACGACTGCTCAGGAATTTTGTTGGAGGGTCGTGGTCCTTACATAGGCCGAATGCAGAGGGGTTTGACCTTGGCGAGGCGAAACAAACACAAAAGAAAGCACTCAAGTAACATGTAAATCAAAATATAATATAAGAAAAAGCGTGATAATAGCGGTACAACTTACAGGACGCAAACGAAGTATCCACTGCGATCCATCGCAATTCTCTGACCGCGCAAGGTCGTTTGAAGGGTTCGCGCGTTATAAACAAACTCGGACGCAAAACTAATATTCTCGGAAAAACGTACGAGTAACTTGTACTCGCAATAGAAGTATGCGAAGCGCAATAAGATACGCCGATGAAAGAATACACGCACGAAATAGTCTACGCTAAGAAATACGCGAAAAGTAATAAGATACGCCGACGGAATAATACCCGCAATCACCATAATCCACACTAACTAACGAAAGAGTAAAATAAACGATACGCGCACAATAATCTCTCGCAAAATAAACGATACGCGCAATATAACTCAACGTTTCTCGCAAATTAAACGATACACGCAATATAACTCAAAGTTTTCCGCAAACTAAATAATACACGCAATATAGGAGTTCTCACATAACACCTCTCATAAATTACGCGAAGCCTCGCCGCACGGTCCACACCGCGAGCACGTGATACTCACGCCTAATTCAGCCCGGGGCGTGCGGTACTCTCAGCCGGAGTAAATCTCACTCTAAATTTCTGAACGGTAATCGAGGCCGATTTCGGGCACCTTCTTCAAGAAGGCTGATTCTATGTCCGGTATGCCGACGCCTCACACTTCCCGTACCGGGCGCGGTACTTTACGTATCCCGGAGGCCGACACGCCCCAGAACAACCGTACGTACGAAAGCCCGCACGATGAAACTTTCACTACGCGAAAACTAACTCTAGCGAAAACGCAGATATCTTACACACAGATCGATAGACACGATACTCATAAACGGTAATCTCGAAAAGCTCGAAACGGTAACTTAACTCTAATGACTGTTGAGCCGACCCGCGAGACAAGGATCTCGCAACACGCGGTCGCTCGTCGTTACTCGATTACACTCAAAATCTTATTCCACACCGGTCGAGTCGGGAAAAAACGGACGCCCCTTCGGTATTATTACGGGGAGTCAGCGGGCGGGCTATGTCT